GGGGGGATGGGACAACCCATGTGGACTCTCACTGGGAATGAAATTAGGGGAAAAAATCGATTTTTTTTTTAATTAAAATGAAGGTCAGAAGGACGTTTAGAGTGCCAAGACGCGGCGGTGATGACATTTTTGGGTACCAGCCAGGGTGGTGACGACTCACCCAGCCCTTCCTGTTCCTCTGCAGGCCGTGGGGGGCGAAGAGGTTGTTATGAATACGAACGAGGCCAAACTTTCTCACGAGAAAGAGGCTCTCGTTTATTTAAACAGCTACAAGGAACAGAGCGCGCAGGACAAGCCCCAGCACTCACGCAGCCACTCAAAAAACCAGAACAGCACGTTGTTCCCAAAAATACCGGGTTCTGCCCAGGAAAAGTTTCCAAAAAGAGCCAAGCTAAACCGAATTCCCCCTTTTATAGCCCCCTTCGAGCCCCGGATTGGTGGATTTTGGATCCGCGCGGTGATTGGTCCGTTCCCAGGCTTCCCATTGGTCTTTAGCGCCGTTCATTCTGGACCAATCATTTCTGCAGGGCGTCGAGTGATTGGTCAGATCCTGCATCCAATCGTCTTCGTCCTCGCTCTGCCCTCCACAAACCCTGGGCCCTTCTTCCAGAACATTCTAACAATTCTGACCCTTAACACCACACAATTAATACAATATAATTGAACTCTAATCTCATTTAACATAACTTTTACTGATAACAAGGTGCAGTGCCACCGCTGCCAGCTGCTCCCCAAGATCCTTGGTGAAATAAACAGGCAGGAGATCTTTCTCCTTTTTAATGACATCTTTCTCCTTTTTAATGACTTTATTAAGAATCAGCTCAGGTGGGGAGAAGCCGACGGGTCGCGCCCACGCCGCCGCTGCTCCCAGGCGTGGCACGGAGGAGGAGGAGGAGGAGGAGGAGGAGAAGGAGGGTGATGCAGCTTTGTCCTGGTCTGCAGGCAGAGCTGGGGATTCCGTCCTCACGGGAGAGTCGCAGATTCCTGGTTTTTTTGTCTAACACTCCGGGACATCTCTTTAATCAGCATCTTTTCAGGTCAGGGTGAGAAGCAAAAAGGATCCAAGCAGGTACGGGACTACGCTCCCATCCTTAGACGTCACTTAGGTCACTTGTTGGCTCGTCATTTTAGGGGTTTTTCCTGGGAAAACTGTAAAAATTGCATTTCTCATCTGCATACTGGCTCGCCCCGAATTTTTACAGTTTTTCCCAGGAAAACCCCTAAAATCACGAGCCAACAAGTGACCTAAGTGACATCAGGATGGGAGCGTAGTCCCGTACCTGCTTGGATCCTTTTTGCTTCTCACCCTGACCTGAAAAGATGCTGATTAAAGAGATGTCCCGGAGTGTTAGACAAAAAAACCAGGAATCTGCGACTCTCCCGTGAGGACGGAATCCCCAGCTCTGCCTGCAGACCAGGACAAAGCTGCATCACCCTCCTTCTCCTCCTCCTCCTCCTCCTCCTCCTCCGTGCCACGCCTGGGAGCAGCGGCGGCGTGGGCGCGACCCGTCGGCTTCTCCCCACCTGAGCTGATTCTTAATAAAGTCATTAAAAAGGAGAAAGATGTCATTAAAAAGGAGAAAGATCTCCTGCCCGTTTATTTCACCAAGGATCTTGGGGAGCAGCTGGCAGCGGTGGCACTGCACCTTGTTATCAGTAAAAGTTATGTTAGATGAGATTAGAGTTTAATTATATTGTATTAATTGTGTGGTGTTAAGGGTTAGAATTGTTAGAATGTTCTGGAAGAAGGGCCCAGGGTTTGTGGAGGGCAGAGCGAGGACGAAGACGATTGGATGCAGGATCTGACCAATCACTCGACGCCCTGCAGAAATGATTGGTCCAGAATGAACGGCGTTAAAGACCAATGGGAAGCCTGGGAACGGACCAATCACCGCGCGGATCCAAAATCCACCAATCCGGGGCTCGAAGGGGGCTATAAAAGGGGGAATTCGGTTTAGCTTGGTTCTTTTTGGAAACTTTTCCTGGGCAGAACCCGGTACTTTTGGGAACAACTACAAAAGGTCTCCCAATGAATTTGAAACTCACCCAGGTGTCATAGAATGACCTTGAGGACCATCTAGATGCCACATGATGACCTTGAAACATTCCTGAAGACCACACAATGACCTTGAAACCTAACCCAATGCCGTGGAATGACCCTGAAACCCACCAAGATGTGGTTTTCAGGGTCATTCCACGGCATTGGGTTAGGTTTCAAGGCACACAGCGGCTTTGTAGCCCACCAAGACACCATGCAACGACTTCGAAGCCCACCGAGGTGATTTTGTAGCCCACCCAGATGCCACCCCAGTCACTTTGAAACCCATCTAAACACCACACAAGAATCTTGAAACCCAACCAGGTGCCTTGAAATTACTTTGAAAACCACCTAAACACCTTACAAGGACCTTGAAACTCCACCTTGTGATGACCTTGAAGTGCACCACGACCTTGGGCTCTTCCCACGCAATGACTTTGAACTACTCCCATCAACTCCATCCCTACCTCGACCTTCTGGGGGTGTTCCTGGCTGAGGGTCACGTTGTACACCTCCATGGTGAGCACCTTGATGAAGGAGACCAGGCGGCTGCCGCGGTGGTTGTTCTCCACAGTGACAGCAAAGGGGATGAGGGTGGGAGCAGTGGGGCGAAGTCTGGATTGCAAGGAGGAAGGTCGGGGAAATGTGGGAAGAGACTGGGACAAGTGGGAAGATCTGAGCCATGTGGCAAGGGTCTGTGCCGTGCTGGACGGGGTCTGGAATGCACAAGATGAAGTTTGGGACGCTGATAAATTTCACAGAATTTCACAGGATGACTAGGTTGGAAGAGACCTCAAAGATCATCGAGTCCATGCCCTAACACCTCAGCTAAACCACGGCGCCAAGTGCCACATCCAGTCTTTTTCAAACACATCCCGGGATGGTGATTCCACCACCTCCCTGGGCAGACCATTCCAGAAGTTATCACCCTTTCTGTAAAAAACATTTTCCTAATATCCAACCATTCTTTCCCTTGATGTAGCTTGAAACTGTGACCTCTGGTCCTGTCAGTTGTTGCTTGGTGAAGGAGACCAACCCCCACCTGACACAACCACCTTTCAGGAAGCTGCAGAATGTGACAAGGTCACCTCTGAATCTCCAGGCCTGGAACATGTGGGAAAGATCCGGATTCTTGGAAAGATGGAGTGGGTTCTGGGACACAAGAAGCAGCTGGAGCACCAGGAGAAAGTTCTGGAGAACTCCCAAGGATCACCTGAGGGATCTGAGGGCTTCAACCCAGGATGGATCCCCCTCCACTCCCCTCCATCCCCAGTCTGGCTCCTTCCCTTCTCAAAGAAAACCTGTCCTAGGGTGACGTTATGATGCTTGTATCCCAAATCATGTGTTCTGTTTATGCTGGACATTATGTTCTGGGCCTTCAAGACTGGCTCTGAAGAGCGACTGTTTTGTTTTGTTTTGTTTTTTGTTATAGTCTGCTCCCCCATGGCTGGCAGGACACAGAGATGGGGCAGTACATAACGTGGCTTTTGCTTTTTGCTTTTGCTTTTTGCTTTGCTCCTGCTCCTGCTGTGCCCCTGCTTTGCTTTTGCTTTTTGTTTCTGCTTGTTAGTTAGTTTAGCAGGCCAAATCTTTCCCTGGACTGTTCTTCCTTTCCCTTTTTTTTTGGAAACACTGAAACCTGCTCCGCCTGGGACCTGGGAAACACCAAGAGTTCCCCAGGTGGCTGCAGCAGCCATCCCCAGTGCCAGAGGGAGCGACAACAGAGCCACCACTCCCAGGAGAGATTTCAAAGAATCACAGAATCTCTGGGTTGGAAGGGACCTTTAAGATCATCGAGTCCAACCCATGCTCCAACACCTCAACCAGGTCATGGCACCAAGTGCCACATCCAGTCTTTTTTTAAACACATCCAGGGATGGTGACTCCACCTCCTGCCTGGGCAGATGATTCCAGTATTTGACCACTCTTTCTGTGAAAAACTTCCTCCTTAAATCCAGCCTGTATCTCCCTTGGCGCAGCTTGAGACTGTGTCCTCTTGTTCTGTCGGTTGTTGCTTTTTGAGTTTGTCATCCTTTTCAGGTCGGTGAAAGTGTTGCCACCTGGTGTTGTTCATTTTGTGTTTTGCCTGTTAAATAAACAGGTTCTTTCCACTTCTCTCCGAGGAATCCTTCCTGAACCCATAGCAAGGAGTCCTTTTCAGATCGGTGAAAGTGTTGTCACCTGGTGTTGTTCATTTTGTGTGCGGGGGGTGTTTTGCCTGTTAAATAAACAGGTTCTTTCCACTTCTCTCCGAGGAATCCTTCCTGAACCCATAGCAAGGAGGGGCTGTGTGGGTTTGCCCTTTTGGCGGTTTTCTCCCAAATTTGCCTTAATCCAGGACAGTCCAGGACAAAACCCTGTAGCCGTGATATTTTAGTGAGAAATCCTCTGTTGGGATTTTTCCTGTCCTGAGGAGCTGAGAGCCTCAGGAAAGAAATGGAAACAATCCCCCTCCTGGGACCCTCCTGGGGACCCTCCTGGGACACTGCTGGGGACGCCCTTGACCCTCTTGGGGACCCCCTTGACCCTCCTGGGGACCCTCCTGGGGACCCTCCTGGGGACCCTCCTGACAGCCAAGCCCCTTCTGGATGCCCGGAGCCACCCCAGCCTCCCTCCACCCCAAACCTTTCCCTGGGGAGCCCAAACAACCTCTCTGAGACCCTAAAAACCAGCCAGGGACCCCCAGAAATCCCTCGGCATCTCTCAGCGCCCCCAGACCCACAAACCCCTCCAGGGACCCCCATTTACCCTCCAGGGCCTCCCTCGGCGCCCCCAGACCCACAAACACCTCATCGCTCCTCAGAGCGCTCCCTCAGACCCCTCCGCCGCCTCCCATTGGCTGCAGCGCCCGTCCGTCCCCGCTCTGAACCAATCAGCGGCCGCGCTGGGAGCGCGGGGGCGGGCCCAGGCGCGAGCGCGGGCGATGGCGCGGGTGAGGCCTGAGGGCTCCTGAGGGGCCGGGGCGGGATCGGGGGGACCCGGGGGGATCCTGAGGGATCGGGAGGATCCTGAGGGATCGGGAGGATCCTGAGGGATCGGGAGGTCCCCGCGTCATTTCCCGCACGCCTCCCGCAGGGGCTCAGCCTGGAGCAGCGCACGGAGCGTCTGGTGCAAAGGAGGTGCGAGAGCAGCCCGGCCGGGAGAGCCCCTCAGCATCCCCCAGTGCAGCCCCCGGTCGGCTCCCCGTCCCCTCAGCGCTGTCCCGGACCCCAAGGGCGCCCCAAATGCCGCCCCAGAGCCCTGAGTGCCCCCCAGTTCCCTCCTTTGTTCCCCAGGAGCAGCTCGGGGACCCCCGGGTGATGTCCCTGAGCCCCCATTCTGCCCACAAGTGTGTCCCCCAGCCCCTCAGGGTCAGCATTTCGGGGGTCCCCAGCCCTCTGCATCCCCAGGAGCAGCTCGGGGACCCCCGGGTGATGACCCTGAGCCCCCATTCTGCCCACAAGTGCGACCCCCAGCCCCTCAGGGTCACCATTTTGGGGGTCCCCAACCCTTTCCGTGCCCAGGAGCACCTCAGGGACCCCCAGGTGATGTCCTGGAGCCCCCACTCTGCCCACAGGTGCATCCCCCAGCCCCTCAGTGTCAGCATTTTGGGGGTCCCCAGCCCTCTGCATCCCCAGGAGCAGCTTGGGGACCCCCAGGTGATGTCCCCGAGCCCCCACTCTGCCCACAAGTGCGTCCCCCAGCCCCTCAGGGTCAGCATTTTGGGGGTCCCAGCTCCCCCCAACCCTCTCCTTCCCCCGGAGCAGCTCGGGGACCCCCAGATGATGTCCCAGAGCCCCCATTCTGCCCATAAGTGCATCCGCCAGCCACTCAAGGTCAGCATTTCGGGGGTCCCCAACCCTCTCCGTACCCAGGAGCACCTCAGGGACCCCCGGGTGATGACCCTGAGCCCCCACTCTGCCCACAAGTGCGTCCCCCAGCCCCTCAGGGTCAGCATTTTGGGGGTCCCAGCTCCCCCCAACCCTCTCCTTCCCCCGGAGCAGCTCGGGGACCCCCAGATGATGTCCCAGAGCCCCCATTCTGCCCATAAGTGCATCCGCCAGCCACTCAAGGTCAGCATTTCGGGGGTCCCCAACCCTCTCCGTACCCAGGAGCACCTCAGGGACCCCCGGGTGATGACCCTGAGCCCCCACTCTGCCCACAAGTGCACCCCCAGCCCCTCAGGGTCACCATTTCAGCATTTTGGGGGTCCCTGCCCCCCACCAACCCTCTCCTTCCCCCCTCAGCCAGGCCCTGCTCAGGCCCCGCCCCTGCGGGCCGGGGAGGGCGGAGCCTGCCCTTGGCTCCGCCCCCTGCAGCTCCGCCCTCGATGACCCGCTCGTCCAATGGCGCTTGAGGCGGTGCCAATGGGAGGAGCCAGCGCTGGACACGCCCCTGGTGGGTGGGGCCCTGCAGGGGGCGGGGCCCCGGGAGTCACGTGAGCCAGCGGAGGCCCCGTGGCCAATCAGGAGCCGCCTCTGTGGGCACCAGGGGGCGTGGCCATCCCTGGCCGTCTCCCAGGAGCCCTTGCGGCGGGAGCCATGTTGGGAGTCACGTGACCCAGCAGAGGCCCCACGGCCAATCGGGAGCCGCCTCTGCGGGCACCAGGGGGCGTGGCCATCCCCGGCCATCTCCCAGGAGCCCTTGCGGCGGGAGCCATGTTGGGAGTCACGTGACTGCGGCGGGGCTCCGTGGCGTGCGCCATATTGGACGTCGTGCCTGCGGCCTGCAATGGAGGCACTTCCGGAGCCCCTGCGCCGGGCAGGGCCGGGCTCGAGGCCACGTGACCCCCGCGAGGCCCCGCAGCCAATCAGGAGCGGCGCCTGTGATGCCCATCAGGGGGAGCCATGGGAGCAGCCACTGGGTGAGGCCCCAGAGGAGCCCCTGAGGGTCAGGGGGGTCACTTGTGGGTCGTGGGGGTCACTTGTGGGTCATGGGGGTCGCCTGAGGGTCATGGGGGTCACTTGTGGTCATGGGGGTCACTTGGGGGTCACTTGGGGGGCTTGGGGGTCAGTTGGGGGTC